AAAGCATTGAACAGGGAGTTTTAACATATTCTTTCAAATGAAAAGTAGCTAATTGGAATGCAAGGTTGGTTTCTTCTCACAAATAAAAGTAAAGATGGGTTTTATTATGACTGTAGAGACAAAGTTAAAGATTATTAATGAATAATAAATGCCTAAGCTTGCTCGGATCCACAATCAACACACTTGCTATCAGCAGCCCGGAAATTAAAAGACAAATTGCATTGTGGAAATCTGCTGTCAAGGACTTTTCCAAAGGACTAAAGAACAATGATGTCAGTCTAGGGACTAAGGTCCACCTGATCCAGGCCATGGTCTTCACAATTATTTGCTATGCGTCAGAGAGCTGGACAATGACTAAGGATAATAGAAGAAGGACAGATGCATTTCAGTTGTGGTGCTGGAGAAGAGTATTGACTATACCATAGACAGCTAGGAGAACAAACAGGTTTGTCCAGAGAAGGGTGAAACCAAGCTGCTACTTGGAGGCAAATGTTTTGAAGCTTCGTCTGACATACTTAGGGCATGTTGCAAGGAAAGACCAATCCTTGGAGAGGGACAACAGCTTGGGAGGGTAGAGGGACAGCATTAGCACAAGAGACAAAGACCCTGATGAGATGGATTGACTCAGTGACTAGGTTAATGGGGTAGGTTTGTCAGAGATAATGAGGTTGGATTTAGCGTTGTTATACCTTGGATTGCTGAGTCGCAAGTGACGTGACGGCACACAACAACAAAAACAGTGAATGATCACACAGGAATAAAAAGGAAATCATTTTGGAAGTAATGACTATTCATATTTTTAAAAATCTAAGTCTAAAGTGACTGGTGGTATAGTGGTAAGAAGATTCACTGCAATCACAAAGGCATGAGCTTCAGCCTTCATGCACAGAAGGATGGGCAGTCTACTTCCAAGCAATAAACTGCCTCTGAAAATCCACCAGAGGGTCAGTTCCACAGCACAAAACAAGAACTATAAAACTGACAAAAGCCAAGTGATCAAATACTGTGAAAATAAAGAAAAGGTAAAAAAATAAAGTAAAAGTAAAAGACTGTCAAAACACAACAAAAATGAGCAAATTTAAATAGTATGTGGCGTTTATCTGAATGCCAAAAGATTGCCATGAAATTAATATGGGTAAATCAATGAAAAATAGAATTTCTAAAGAGAGGATGTCCTTTTTAAAATTTTTTTTTTAAATCAAACTAAGGCTGAAAACTGAGGAGGACCTGGGGCGCTTGCTGCAGAGGGTCAAGGACTGCAGCGTACAATATGGATTGAGGCTCAATGTCAAGAAGACAAAGATTCTCAGCACTGAACCAATTGTCAGCATCAGGATGGATGGCGAAGAGATTGAGATTGTTCACAGCTTTAGTCTGTTTGGCTCCACAGTCAACACTCTTGGCACCAGTAGTCAGGAAATTAGAAGACGTATTGCGATGGGAAAGTCTGCTGTTAGGGAGCACTCCAAAGTACTGAAGAGCAATGGTGTCTCTCTGGAGACTAAGGTGCGTCTGATATAGGTCATGGTCTTTACAATCACTTGTTATGCATCAGAGAGTTGGACAGTGACTAAGGAGGATAGAAGGAGAATTGATGCCTTTGACTTGTGGTGCTGAAGAAGAGTATTGAGGGTACCATGGACTGCTAGGAAAACAAACAGATTCATCCTGGAAAGGGTTAAACAGGGCGACTCCTTGGAGGCAAGGATTCTGAAGCTCCCTCTAACATACTTTGGACATGTTGTAAGGAGAGACCGGTTCTTGGAGAGGGACATCATGCTTAGGAGGATGGAGGGACAGCGCAGGAGGGGAAGACCCTCTATGAGATGGATTGATTCAGTGACTGGGGCAGTCGGGATGGGAGTGTCAGAGACAGTGCAATTGGCACAGGACAGAGCAGAGTTTAGGGCTGTTATACATAGGGTCGCTATGAGTCCCAAACGACTAGATGGCATATAACAACAACAACGGTAAAGGGATTTATTACTAAGACAAATTTAATTTTTCATGATAGAAAAATATCATATATGTAGCATTTCCACTGTAATTTAAAACCCTACAGAAAAAGTATCCATGATACAAATGTTCTTTTTCAGTTAATAAAGACCTCGAATATGCAAAATCTATACAAAACTCACCTGTCCCGAGGAATTCAATCCTGTTTCTGGCCTGTCTTCTCCTTCCTGTCTGTCCAGTCCCGGAGGTAAACTGGGGCTGAAAGCCATGAGGTCAGTCTTGGGCGGCCCCTCCCCAGAGCACATCCTCTGCCTCCTCTGCTGGGAGCACGACCAGCTCCCCACCGCACTCGAACACACCAGCCTCGGCTTCCCCGGACCGCACGCGCCCTCTGCCGCCGGCGCCGAGCACCGCAGCGCCGTGTACAGCAGCAGCGTCAGCACCAGCAGGCTGGACACCGCGCAGATGGCCACGATCAGGTACACGTTCACGTCCACCAGCG